TATTACTCATGATCAACTCAGTCAGTTTGCATTGCTTTACAAGTACTTACTAAATAATAAGCCTTAGGATGTAAGGGGCCTGGGATTTTAAGGTGGTTAAAGAAAGTGTTATTTCTGGCTCTCTGAACTGTCCATTTCATCTGAACCTGGAAAATATTTTTAAAAAATCAGCCTTTCAGGCCCACATTACAGGATTTTTGAAATCTCTAACTGGTGTTCAAAATGTAAGAAATCCCACACATGATGACATGTTCCACTAATTTTCCATCCTTGCCTTTACTATGATTTCCACACACTTTCAGATAATGATCACGAGCCGGCCAGCCAGCTTTGGATCTCGCAGAATTTCTCTGTTAGTTGAAAATAAACATGGCAGATGACCCCAAGGCAAAAAGCTGTTTTTTTACAACATTGATAGGGAACAAAAAGGTTTATCCTACTTTTAAAAGCAATTGAAATAGCATTATCAATTTGGAATTTGCATAAATTAAATTTTATCCTTCCACTCAGCTCAACTTTGCTAGATTGAGACTTGTGAAACCTCAGCTTGAAAAAAAGTATTTGCAGTAAGTATTGCAAGTAAACGCAATATTTAAAGGAAAGAAGGAAAACAACTTGAAACAATTGGCTAGCATGTAGTTTGGACAGCAAGTATGCTAGCTGATTTGTCAGCTAATGTAGCTGAAGTTTTATACAAACTTACTCAAGCTGGATTAGCTAACATGCTAGCTAGCTAGCTAGCATACTTGTTATACAAACTACAAGCTAACCAACTGCTTTTATGTTGCTTTGTCTCTTTCCTTTAAACACCCTTACTGTTCTTTAGCCTGGAGGTTTTTATAAAAGGTTTATTGGGGGTTTATCTTTGTATGATACAATGCCTGCAAATAAACTAAACTAAAATTCTCTACTAAAGACTCGAGACTTGACACCCAGCCCAATCTTGCACAGTCTGATTAATGATTTGGGAACATCTCTGCTCTGTCCAACTCGACTCTATCACACTTGACTCTATCCCGCTCAGCTCTGTCCAGCTCAGCTTTCATTGTTTGTTGTTTTTTTTCATATTTCACATGTGATGTCAATGCTGTGTTTCATATGAGAGAATCAGCTCCCCCCAGCTGCACAAGATGCTGAATCAAAATCAGGGAATTCATGATTGTTAGTAGACTGGAGTGGCCAGAATTGAATTGTACACAACAAAGACCAAAGAACAGTCTGGAAAGATAATTGTTTAAGACTGAAATCGAGACACTTTTTGTGTTCGTCGGGAAGGATGAATCAGCTTCAAAACTGGCCTGCAGTGTGGGCCAGGCATTAACTAGTATCTTCAGGTTAGTAACGCATTCACAGCAATTACAGGAAAATTCTCGAACAAGGAACAAGGATCTTTTTCTCTTTTGATGTGATAAGGAAGGTAAAATGGTGTAATATGTATGCAAATTAAGAATGAGCAAATTTACAATTGATACCATGCATGAGATCTGTAGAAGAGAATACATTATGCTTCCATTACAAATGGTGACCTTTACAGGTTATGAACTAAATGAGAAGTAACAATATTAATAGCATTTTAAAAACTAATTTTGAGCTGCCATTCAATCTGTTTTGGAGTAAAATTTCCATGTTAACTTTCCCAGGAATTAAAGGCATCCAATAGGGAGAGTGTTGACCTTCATTGGCCTGTATGTGCATTGATGTGTTAATATCTGAAGGTCAGCATCAATTTTCACAATGATAAAATTGACTAATCTAAATGATCTATAATAACAGACAATAGAGTTACAATCCAATTTTAACTTGAAAACTTTAATCAGATACTTTTATGTGCGATAATTATTTCATACATCTTCATTGTTCATAACTGAAACGTTGCAGAAATACATGTAGATTCGCACAGCAGGGCAACTGTAGAGGGCCAGTTATATTTAGATTGGTAGGGCCAGAGGTCATTCTCCTGGCAGTACTCCTGGACTTCCTAAACGCTGGCCACATGCTCCACTACAGTCAGATTTTCTGGATGCACAACAGCATGTGTGGGTCTGGAGTACTGCTCATTTTTAATCTCTTATTCTGCTGACTGGCAGTGTTAAGCAGGATAACTTAAAAAAAAGTGATGGCTGGATATTAAATACACTGTCCTAAATGTTTTCAATAACATATTCCATTACAAAACATGGAAAGGTACCATATTCAGACTACATGTAGAATAAACATTGATAAGACACATATGAAATCCTCTGCTGTTGTAAATTTGATGTGACTGTTTCTCATTGTTAGTAATTTCTTTATGTAATTCTGTAACGTACTATGTTTAGTGAAAAACAAATCCTTGCAAATTTGACTATAAAGTAGGTAGCTATTTGATTTAATGGTGTTTATTTAACTTGCCACAAAATGCATGTATGAGTCCAGTCCAAATACAGCACCAATGCTTAGCTTATCTCTTATGAACATACCCATTACTGAGGAGACTATTCAGTTCAATCATTATTCAAAATAGTAGCATGATCATCAAAGTGATTTATCAGTCTACTCAGGCTTTAGCAGAGCTCACTAACACTGAAATTAATAACTGATTATTTCATTGATTTATCAGTCTACTCAGGTTTTAGCAGAGCTCAGTAACACTGAGATTAATAATAATCATCACATTGATTTATCAGTCTACTCAGGCTTTAACAGAGCTCAGTAACACTGAGATTTATAACTGATCATCACATTGATCTATCAGTCTACTCAGGCTTTGGCAGAGCTCAGTAACACTGAGATTTATAACTGATCATCACATTGATTTATCCGTCTACTCTGGCTTTAGCAGAGCTCAGTAACACTGAGATTTATAACTGATCATCACATTGATTTATCAGCCTACACAGGCTTTAGCAGAGCTCAGTAACACTGAGATTAATAACAGATCATCACATTGATTTATCTTTCTACTCAGGAAGTTAAGTGTTTGTGAAGAACACTGTTTTTAGAGTATGACTTTAGACACTGTGTGCTGATGTTAAATTAGTTCATAAACAAGTATTGATTGTGTTTTTTAAAGATGGTATTTTTTTTATTTAGTGGATAAGTATTCTAAAAGCATTATCCTAAAAATGTAAAAAGTAACTGTATTCTGAATACTGCCTTTACAAAATTCAACTTGAATTGAAGACAGACACTTAATTTCTGTGTTTTGAATACATATTCCAAATACTCTGTATTCCATTACATCCCATCTGTGCTGACTGATTTCCTCTACCAGACTCCATAGGAATGACACTGCTTCACATCCCTTGATCTCAACTACTTGGATTGTTTTTACTGAGTTTAATTTATTTTCACTTTTCAGAGGAAAATTGAATTTTTACGGAAAAGAGGAAAGAATAGTAAAAAAGAAAAAAAAAACATGGATGGAATGTTATTTATTTATGAGAAAATTGTGTTTGGGATTTTTTCCATATTAATATCTAACAGAGTGTAACTGATTTGATCTGTACCATTTTTTTGCAGAGATCACCCACTGTGAGCACTTAAATATTTCACAGTCTGATTATAAATAAAGCAATAGGCATAAAACAGCCTGTCTTAAATACATATGAAATAATCATATACTTTACATAAACAGCTGAATAAAATAAAACAGGGAAGAAGAAGGAAATGCTACTGCCGAGATCTTACCATAACATTTGGAAAGTAACTTGAAAAATTATATAATAATGTAGGGCAGACAAAATATTGAAAACAGAACAGTTTTTAATCCATGGCATAAACCCACAATGTGTCTGCACTACATTCTTATGGTCACCTGAATCACTGTAATAAACTTTAGTGGAAATACAGCTGCACTGTTGAGAATCTAGTTGTTAAAATTTCATCATGACCAATATACTCCTTAAAAATAAATAAGATTTACTAATGCTAGCATGTCTTTTGTCATTTTCAACGCTAAAATAAATTCTGGCATTAACATGTACTGTTTTTTCCACATTAATAATGTGACACAAGGTTTGTTGGTTTTCCCTAAGTGATTTTTGGCAGTATTACTATAGCACACTACTGTTTTTATGTGCACACACATAATATTCTCTATACAAAATCCTCATAATCCTTCAATTTGCAACCTTGTTAAGGATTTACACAAGTCTACCAGATAATTCTAATCTCAATATTATCATAAAGCCTTTGTCCGACATCTGGATTCTGAGTTGTGTCATGTCCAAGTCATCTTGATGGGATTCATTTGGCACAGAACTATAAAAGAAGCTTTAATTAATATTAATATTTTCCCATTTGTTTTCTTTTTTTTTTTAACAATCAACATAGTGACATACATAAATGACGCACCTTGACACAAACGGAATTAAAAAAGAACGTGAACAACAGTGCAACCAAACTCTTTTTAAAATCTGCTCTGGGAAAGTCTAAGAAAAGCTCTTTCTATCTTGTAAAATAAGACATGTCCCTATGAATGGCTGACCATGTCACACTGCATGTTGTTTCCTGAGGTTATCTGGGAACATGTTGCTCTATTTGTGGTGGCGGTATTTTTGCGGCAAGTGCTTGAGGCAGAGATTCAAAACCCTGATTGCTCTCTTTTGCTTTCCTTTTTCCTCACTTCTTCATTCACTTGTACTTTTCCACCAAACCCTAGATCTTCCTTTTCTAGTCATAACAAAGCCTTGGATAACAAATCATTTTACAGAAAACTAGACTTTGAAAGAAAAAAAAAACCTCAAAGGTGCTTCAGGCATACAAGATACTCACATCTCAGCTGCAGTTGATCTCTGCTGCAAGAGATGATATAAAAATCAGATGCACTGACCACAGAACTAAAATAGTCTGCCCATAGATAGAATCAAAGCAGGTACATTCAAGCGAATGTGAATGTAAACTAAAGGAAATTTGGTTGAATTCATACTGATTGTCTGGACATTACTCAGAACCCAGGCTGTCTGGCGGACCGCAACTCCAGGGATGATATGCTCAGGGAGAACAAGGCAGGAACCTACCTCACAAACTGCTGTTGTTGATGCGTGACGTGTGCGTGAGCACAAAGCTCTCCGTGCATTGCTGGCTGCTGGAGGACAAGGAGCGGCGAGGTGACCGCTGGAAACGGTTCCTTCTGTTGAAATAGCTCCCGGCCGTCCAGGTCCTCTGCCTCTTCCGAAGGTATTCCTTGTAGTTCTTGGTTAGAAGGGTGTAGAGGAATGGATTGATGCAGCTGTTGCTGTAGGTCAGGCAGGTGGTCAGGTAGTTGATATTGCGCCTGGCCTTGGTGGACAAGACCATCTCAGGCTTGAACTGGCCCAGGAGCTGCCAGATCCAGAAGGGCAGAAAGCAGGCCCAGAAGAGGAGAACAATAGTGAAGATGAGGTACAGCACTTTGTGATTAGGCAGCTTTTGAGTCTGCTTAAAAGTCTCTGTCTGTGAGATCCAGTAGGTACGTGCCAGGCAAATGTAGAGGTAGCCGATTATGACCCCTGGAGCTACAATGCTGGTGCAGAAAAGTGAAGAGATGTAAATCTTGTAAGAAAGAGGACTCAGCGTGGTCTGACACATTGACTTGGAATTTTCTGTCTTGAGCTCTACATCAATGATCATGGGAAGGGTTAGAATCAATGAGGCCGTCCACACTAGCAGAGCAATGGCCTTACGGTAGCTCTTGGAACGTTTTACTGTGTCCAGAGGCTTGAGCACAGCAAAGTAGCGTTCTGTGCTCATCACAGTCAAGGTGAAAATGCTGGCATGCATGGTGAGAAAGTCCATACTAATGAGAGTCCTACACCCTACATCACCAAAGTACCAGCCCTTTAAGAAGTGGGTGCACACCACAAAGGGAATGGTCAGCAGGTAGAGAAGGTCGGCCATTGCCAGGTTGACGATGTATATGTACATGGAAGCAGCAGAGCGCATGGAGTGGCACATGACCACCAGGGTGTAGATATTTCCTGACACGCCCACAAGGCACACGAGGGACAGGATGGTGCCGATGGTGAAGGTAGCAGCCATATCCTCAGCAGATGCCTCTACTGGAGTCTCAGTAGCGTTAGGAATCCTATCCACCATCGCCACCAGGGACTCCACTGATACGGTGGTCATCTCTACATAGCAACCAGATAAACAGACACACATAGTGAACAAGTAGGTAAAAGTTAAAAGGGTGTTCTGGAAAGTTTGAAAGGCTACCTACAGTTCAGCAGAACACTGTCAGTACAACCTTTAAGTCAGTAAGTAAATACACTAAAAAAGTGCAATAAATAAGCTTTAACAGTGTTTTATTCTGAGAATAGAACTGAAATCAACAGCGTGAGAACTGTGGAAATGTGGATATTTTTTTCTGTTCTATTAGATATTTAAAATATCAGTGAAATTGCAGGACAACTTTTTGTCAAAGCTTAATTAAATTTCTACTCTAAGGTCACTGAGCTAATTTACTGAGCGACCAATGTCATTAGGGCAAAGGAACACTGGATATTTTGAACAAGACCTCTTGCCCCTTAATTAACAAAGTCCTTATCTTATGTGCCCAAGCTGTGCAGCGAGTATTTCGGACAAGAGACCTGACAGGTCAAAATGAAATGTCATTTTAATCGAATAATAATGTCTTACCTTGTTTAATTCCCACAGACTTTGTGGCTCCCAGCAAAGAGTGGTTTAGCATTTATAATGAGCCCGGCGCACGCTGATCTAAGTCATGATATCTCTCCCAGTAGTCATTCCAAAATCCCGGAATTCCATTTGAAATATACCAAATATTTGGTTCCAGTTAGCGCAGAAAAAAAAAAAAAGAAAACGAAAAACCCAGAGTGGACTAGAGCAACATGGTCATTGTGTCAGAATGCGTAGTCCGAGTGCCTCAAATGAGTCATAGGCAGGTGCTTCAGCTGTTGTGGAAAAACTTCTGGTCTTCTTCAGCACATCACCTACTCCCTCACGGGTCCTGATGGCAGATCTTAGCAGAGCATTATGTGTTCAAAAGAGGTCATAAACATGAAAGAATCGGTAAATAGGGGAAAAAGCCAAATTCATCTTGGCTGGATTTGCCCAGGGAGACGAGCACTTTGAGCTACAGCTGGATTTTGAAATCCTCTCTTCCACTGACAGAGTGCGTGCCTGTGAGGGGTAGAGGGAGGAGGGAGGGAGGAGGGGAGAGAGAGAGAGTGTGAGAAAGAGAGAGAGAGAGAGAGAGAGAGAGAGAAAGAGAGAGAGAGAGAGAGAGAGAGAGAGAGAGAGAGAGAGAGAGAGATAGAGAGAGAGAGAGAGTGAGAGAGAGAGAGTGAGAGAGAGAGAGAGAACAGCTCACACAGTAACACAGTGTGGGAGGGGAAATGAGGGTGGGAGGTAGAGTGAGAGAGAGACAGAGAGATCGAGAGAGAGAGAGAGAGAGAGAGAGAGAGAGAGAGAGAGAGAGAGAGAGAGAGAAAATAAGACGATTGGGGGGGTGATGAGGGAGCAAGGATTGTGAGAAGGTATTCCGGAAATGAGTGTCCTTCCCCAACGCATACTATAAATGAATGACAAGTATGTGTGCCTGCCGGTCCTGTTACATGACAACCCTACACCTTCTGTCCACCACTTCTTTTGTTTTTAATCGTGAGGACAATGTTAACGGCTGTTAGTTTTGTACTTCAGTAAAATTATTATATTGTCTTTCTATCAAAACCTCATAACCTTTTGTTTACACCATTTGAAAACACAAAAAATGGTCATTACATTGTATGAATGTGATAAGCATGATGAATGAACGAATAGAAATGCTCCTAAACCTTGTTACATTAAAGTACTACAGCGTCAAAAATGTTTTCCTTCTCCTATACGTTTCCATTTCAGAGATTTTAACTATGACTATGTTTATTATATGTATTACTTTAATAAACATTTTGCATTTTTACTTCACTATCCTTTTATTTGTTTTAGGACAAGCAGTCACATTTTTCCAGTTTTGCATTTCAAGAATAATATTTATGGAGCTTTTTCTCTATAGCCACAGTGCAGACTTAGCCTGACTGAATGACTTACAGTTGTCCTGTCTTGCCATATTCATGGTGGTATCTGTAGGATACTATAGAAGCATGACTGCAGAATTTTTACCTATTTATAATGGTTACTTCAAAGGCTCAAAGGCTGCTCTAGCAGTTACCGACAATTATAAAACAAATAATTCTGGTTCGAAAATCTGATTGTCTAAGTCATGTTCAAAGGTCCATGGTTCCCATATAGAAGAAAATTATTTGATCATAAATTTGCTCATATTAAAACTACACATGAAAAACATGTAGCGTTTAACAAAAGTGCTATTTTAAATATCTAAATAGATGCCAGTATATGTAGATATATGCCAGTATATTAAAAATTTGTGCACACATGGACTAAATATATGTTATAGTGTGAATACTTAATATTTACATGACAAATATTTTGAGAAATCTATGTAAATATATTCCCTTTGCATATGGGTTCCTGGGCAATTGCTCAAAACCAGTGATTGCCAGGGTGGTCCTCAGGGCCCCCAGTGCGGTCAACATTTTTGCTCTGAAGGAAAAATGTGGGCATCTGACTGGGTTGGGAACCACTGCTTCAAACTAAATACATGGTTTGGCAAAAAACTGTTTATTCTGATTATTATTAATAATAATAAAGAATTATTTCTTTAACATTTGTGTGTTTTATTATGTTGTATGTTGTCACCCTTTTATAAGCCACACAAGTCCATGTATTACAGTGATTCTACTAAGGGTAAGTGGGGTTTAGGCACAGTGCAAACAACACCTTACCTGTGATAAAATCACTTGTAATGCACAGCCTTGGGTGGCTTATAGCTTTATGAAATATCAACAGGTTCATACATTTTGAGAGCAAAATGAAAAGGAAAAGGACATTTGAGCTTTACTAAATGTATGCACAGATAAAGAAAATTCACTTCAATCTAAGGTATCCAGAGAGAGTGTCCTGTCTTATTAAACTGTCATTCACATGCTGTGATGTGAAAGAATGAAAATGACCTTTATACCACTAACTGATATGTTTGTACCGCACTTGCACTAATGCTTCCATCCTCCTTCTGACATTTACTGCAGGAGGGTTTGGAGGAAAGAGGCAGTAATTTGTTTGTTGGTAAGAATTGATTCACTTTTACAAATGACATCCCTGTTTCCTGCAGTTCTATTTGCATGCAGTTTGCTATTAATGCTCCAGCAGGATAGGAGGATAATGAGCACTTTCTGTCTAGTAGTTCAACTATGAGCATTCTAAGCTGATACTTAGCAATGCATGACAGAGATCCTCCCAGGCAACAAAGAGGGGCAGCTTGCTTGTTTTTAAATCTCTGGTTCATGAGGTGTACAAGCATGTGTGATCAGGAGAGATTGGCTGTGATGATCAGCCAACCAACAGATGTGCATTCAATTCTACCCTCCATCATCAGGTATTAAGTCTTTGCAAATGTGCCAAAACACCATCTCAATTAATGAGAAACCATGAACCAGTGAAAAGGTCAGAGCAAAAGCCAGAATACTCATTTGGGAGTGTGTCAGAGAGACCTCAAAGCAATCAATGGAACCAGGCTTAGCAAAGGACACGTCAGGACCTGAGCTTCTGTTCCGTTTCAAGAGAGCCGGATCAACTCAACTAAATTAGTCACCAGTAGACATTATAGCGTTATATCCACCTTGAGAATAGTAAAATATTCAAGTCAAACCATGGCCTTGTTCCCTCCATCTGAATGAATCCACTGAGATATGTGTTTGAGGACGATAATTTGGTCAAGTTTGCTTCATTGAATTACACACAATTCAAAGGGTTTGAAATGAGATTTTGTGGAAAGGCATGCAGCACCTAGCTGACTGAGATAAGACATAGATGTGGAATGTGAGCAGATAATAGCTTCTGGTGCTCAAGGCACATAGCATCCATCAAGTATATGTTTTTTTTCTTTGTTTTTTGGGAGTGTTTTTGGATTATTTACTATGCAGGTCGCTGCCCTATGAATGTGAGCTCACTTGTTTTGCGAGAACATCAAGCTCAGGTCCAGCATTTCTTCTCAGCAAGGAGCAAAGGTCATCTGTTAACTCCAGATCAAACACAGTTTCAAACAAGGGAGCTATTTAGTCCTCAGTATGAATTTTTGATGTTTGTACTTGGACTCCAGACTTTGTAGAGCGTAATGTTCTTCTGTGGCTTTGAAAATCACATCTGGAGGCTGTCAGACAGACATTAATTATAGCTTGAAACCCCACCCCCCCAAAAAAAAAAATAAATAAAGTGGAGAAAGTTAGGGTACTGGCAAAAAGAAGTAAAAAACAGCAAGTAGTGGGCAAGACGTCATATGTTATATCTTTAATTTTAAAAGCATACTTACAAATGCCAAAGTTGGAAAGTCTAGCCAAGCAATTCTTAAAACACTGAACAGAACCGTTCGATCAGTGAGACAGAAGACTTTCTGAGTAGTTTCTGAGCGACATCTTCAGCATGGTCTTAACCAGCCAGGATGTGAGGAGCCTGGCCTGGCACTAATGTGGGTTGTATTGCACTGAACTGAGAGGTATTTGCCTGACGAGATGTCACTCAGCCCTTATGATTATAACATAAGGATGTCAATGCGAGAGCGAGAGAAGTTTGATAGTCCAGATTAAAGTTATATGAGGTCATCCACTGACCATTTTTTCTCTCGTTCCCTCATATCGCACATGCTCCTGCAGACCGAAGCACAGACACACTCTCTCAATTAAGGCTGACAAGCCAAGTAAGATTGGGAGTTATATTTGCTGATAGGAAAAACAGATTCTGTGGGAAGAAACCTGAAGCATGTATGTAAACAAGCCCAAGCTGCTCTGCTTAGCCTTGGAAAAAACTGCTAAATCCTTGTTTTTTAGACAAGGTTATTTCTGAGCAGGACTTACGCTGACATCCAATGTTTGTTCTGGTGTAGAATCATTTACTGAAGTTGCCAAAGTTGAAAACTGGTAGCGTCTAGATTACAGTCAGCCAGGATGAAGAGGTGGGCTTTGACTGACAGTGGGGAATTGCCTCACGAACGCAATGTTCTGAGGTTCATGGAATGTCAAAGAGAGTCACATGCAGCTATGACTTTGACCGAGTGCTACTCTTACACTTAATGTCTGTCCAGAACGTCTGCTGATCTTTTCTTAACCTTCTGTAATGATATTTTAATTACTGTAGCCCCCCTACTGTGCAAATAGCTGCACAAACAAAGACTTATGTCCACAGTGGCCTTGAATTCTGAGAGTTTCTTGCTCCAGTGCAGGATTTTCGCTAATTAGTTTGAGCCATGGTGTCATATTTCTGCTCTCTCTGCTGCTGTGTTCCCAGAGTCTTCCCATAGCCACCACCTCTGTGTCAATGCAGAGCAAATCCCACAGGACTGCTCACTGTAAAATGATATTGACTGTGTTAGTGTTAATGGCCTTTGACTGTGTGCACTTGTCTTCACACCACTTACTAAATATAACTGATGGCATCTTTCAATATTCCCTGAAATACTGAACATTTCAGTAGACAGAGATAGACTGAGGCTTTGTGCATTTTTTGAAGGAGTGTCAGGAGGGGGAAAAAAAAGACTGTGATCTTGGAGTTAATGAGGTGTGTGGTAAGCACAATGTAACACCATGCTGCCCTCTAGCACATGGCGGGATAGCAGTGCAGTTATGAGCCTGACACATCCCTAAAGGCCATTCTCTCTTCTTGAAACAGCATCATAACATATTCAGCACTTGGTTTCAGCCCAATGCCAAAACCATCATTATACAGAGTTTGAAAAGAAGGACTATGCAATGTGTTTTGCTTCACTACTACAAACACAGTTCAATCATGACTCCACCTCAAAGATTAACAATAGATCAGGCAGAATACTATCCTGCACAGCAAATATATATATATATATTCTGACCCCAGAAAAAAGTGAATAATTTTTAAACTAGTTATCTCGTTTTTATTTGTGCCAAAAGGTCTCAATATAATAGAAATAACCCAATAAATAAAACACAGTGTTTTGATGTTTTTCTTCACCAAGCAGCCCAGTATTTACAGTTACGACCCAATACCTGCTTTAGCTTATCAGTCCTTCATCAAAAGGTCCGTATCATGTGCAATTTTCAGATGACCATTTTACAACCTCTCTTAATCCCTTAGAATCAATGTC